TGAACACCAGGAAATTCAACCCGATCCTCTCCTGTCTGAGTCACGCCAGAAAGAGAAGCCTTTCCTGGCCCCCTCCGACCTCCTTCCACAGGTCACTTCCGCCCATGGCTCCACCCCTCAATGGGCGTGGTCAGTGCCACAGAAGGAGACAAAGTGAATATCCCACTACAAATAAATATACCTATTTCCTCACTTACGAATCTCATAAGTCTAACTCGGTATGGTAACCAAGAAGCCAACATGGGCACAGATTTGGGTGCTGGCTTTATTTGGATTTTACAGTATAACGTGGTTATTGGTGGGGATGGGGAAGGAGGTTTTACAGATAAGCATTAATGGCACAGATCCTTTCAAATAATTTTTTTGGGGGGGTAATTTGTTTTGTTTTGTTTTTTAGACAGGGTTTCTCTGTGTGATAGTCCTGACTGTCTGGAACTCAGTTTGTAGACCAGACTGGCCTCGAACTCACAGAGATCCACTTGCCTCTGCCTCCCAAGTGCTGGGATTAAAGGTGTGGGTCACCAATGCCCAGCAAGTGGCCTCCCTTTTAAGTCAGTTGTTTCCAAAGCATTTTCTCACTTATGCTATCTGTATTTGGATACCCACCTTCCTGCCCCTATAGTCACAAGTGTGCTCATTGGAAGATTTGGTGTGTGTGTGTGTGTGTGTGTGTGTGTGTGTGTGAGTGTGTGTGTGTGTGTGAGTGAGCGAGCGAGCTGGCAGCAGCTGTAGTCAGGACTAGATATCTTTAAACCTCTTCCTTCTTCCACCTCAATGAGTGAGCACGGGTACACACACACACACACACACACACACACACACACACACACACACACGTACCACAGAGAGAGACAGAGAAAGAGAGAGAACGTTTTTCTGCTGCTTGCCTTTTTTTATGCCTGAGTACCTTGCTGACAAGCGCTAATAACAAAATACCCAGAGAGTCCAGTTGAAGTTGGCACACATTAAACATTCTGGACTTGTCCCTTTGCTCAGAGATTGTGCATAATTAATAATTAAACAGTTTCAGTTGTAATGGGTTGACCTCACTGAACTGTTCATTACTCACAAGGCAAAGGCATCATTCAAACTTTTTTCCCAGTGTCCTTCGCTGTTCTCTGGTGTGTGGCCCGCCTGTGTTCAGCTGTTTAGCAGAAGGAACTGACCAGATAGTTATGAAACCTCTGAGACTGGCAGACTGTCCCCCTGCAAGCCCAGAACTGCTTACTGAAATGCTTTGTGGTGGCTGCTGTCCTACAGCAGTTCCCTGCTCGGTGACAGGATCCAGCTTGTGGTCCTTACCAGGACTGTAAAGTTGTTTGGGGACTTAAATCTCAGGCTAAAGCTTTTGGCTAAGGCTGTGCCTACTCTTGTGGTCCAGACCTTCATGCTTAGGTGCTTACAGAAAGCTTGTAAAAAACAAAACCCTTAAGGTGACACCCAGTACCCAGGGCCCAAAGGCTTGTGTTGGCCATTCACCCCAGTTCCCACCAGCACGCTTGAGGAGGTAGTGTACCGGCTTCTTCAATGTGTAGATTTTCCAGGGCATTTCTCCCTCTTGCCCAGTTCAAAAGAGGATATTTTTGATAAATAGCATCTTCTTTACTGGAGTCTCTGAATCCCTCAGGATGGGTTTCAGCCCCTCCAGCTCCCTGCCCCTTTGATGGGAGGCTTCCCCTTTTGGAACACCCTAGGGAAGCCAGAACTCAAATTTTAGTGTGTGCCTGACTTCCCTCCTTCCCTAAAATTTGAACAAAATAAAAAAAATAGGCAGATTCCTGGAAGTCTTTCTCATCCTGAGCTACACTAACTTCTTATTCTATTTTCTTTTAAAAAGAACAAATGGTTGGGCAGATGTGGCATATACCTTTAATCTCAGTACTCAGGAGGCCGAGACAAGCAGATTTCTGAGTTTGAGGCCAGCAGGCTCTACATAGTGAGTTCAGGAATGGCCAGAGCTGCACAGAAAAACCCTGTCTCAAAAAAAAAAAAAAAAAAAAAAAAAAAAAAAAAAAGGAAGAAGAAGACAGGAAAGAGCTCTCTGAGGACTGAGGACCACCTTTGCCTGTTTCTGTGTGGTTTCCCCCACCTGCCTTCTAGCAAGTCCTCTGCTTCTCAGAACATCCTTCCTTGAGGCAGGCAAGAGAGGGATTTTAAAATGAAAAAGAAATATCTGGCAGCATGCACATGAGATGAGGATGTCCCCCACACATCTCTGATGAGTGATTTCTTCCAGGCCCCACTGAGATGAGAATCTGCTCACTATGGTGGTATGGCTCTCCAAATTCAACATGGGCTAGAGTTTTCAGAAGTAAAATAAATTATTCACGATTACCACCCGGTGTTCCATAGTTTTAACATAGGTGTAACAAGATATAATATTAGGTCTTAAATAAAATTAAACATCCATGCAAGGTGCTGCATGTCTCATTTCCCTTCTGCTGTGTTAAAATGACACCTTCATCAAGCTGCCGGGTCTCTGGTTCATAGTTGACTTCCGGCATCCCATCTTGAAGCGAAGTCTTCATTAGCATCATATTTTAAGCAGGATCACTGTAGAAATCCAGTGCAGAAGTTTAACTATCTTGGTAAATATTTGGCCACATTAAGCACTAAGCTTTATTTTCTTAAATACTGGGTTTGAAAGCAACTCCTGGACAGTGTTTGATGGTGTACTAGGACTCAGGAGACAGAAGCAAGAGGATCTGTGAATTCAGGGCCAACAAAGGCTGCAGAATAAGAGCCCTGTCTCAAAAAATAATAAATAAGTAAATAAATTAATTAATAAAGCAACTGGCACACACCCAAGAAAGAAAAGGACCATGCAAGGGCAATTTAGAGGTGTGTCTTCATGGATAAGAGACTTGTAATGGTTTTGCATTTTCAACTTTTAACTACATTCTCAGTCATGGTTGTTGAAGACACTAATGTCATTTCTGGGGTTTCTTTGTCTTTTCTGAGACAGGGTCTCACTATATAGCCTTGGCTATGTGGGAAATCATCAGCCAAGCCTTAAATTCAAGAGATCGATCGATCCATCTGCCTCCTGAACACTGGGACTCACACACACACACACACACACACACACACACACACACACACGGTGCCTTTCCTCAGAATAGACTGGGCTGGAGATTGGCACCTTGTTTTATTTTTGCTTTTTAAACCAATGGGGATGTCTGTGGCCATTTTGCAGTAGTGTTGTTGAGGCTAGTCTGCTATTGTGGGGCTTGTGCCTTTTGAGAGGCCACTTTACCCTGCTCTGTGTATTGCCTGTGAGTGATGCTTTGAACTTGATGAGCTTTTATTCACACCCCCTTCCCTTTGTATTCTTTCCTCCTGGAAGGTTTTCTCTACTGATGACAATTTCAAGTTTGGAATTGCAGCCGTCCCCTCCATCTCAATGAATAAATTCAGAGGGTACACTTGCAAAAGCCAATATAAATCTTGTTCACACACATACCTTTTTTTTTTTTTTTTTTTTTTTTTTTTGACTGCCTTGGCCCTCTCAGTTCCTTTTGATTTAATTGTATTTTCCAGCAGTTTCCAAATTGTTTGAATCGGAAACAAAGCCTTAATAAGAGTTCTAGTTAATTTTCTGTCTTGTAATTACCGATCTCATTTTTCTGATAATTGGCCACAGCAATTATATGTATATTTACTAATCACATAGGAGGCTGTGCTGTTGTGTCTATCTGCCACCATTGATAATGACACACATAGTGCAGAGGTGCTTTTATCTTCTTCTCCTTTCCACGACATCAAAGCTATTTCCTCTCGTTCTCCATAATGAATACATGCATGCATTTGACACAGTTGTGTGCTAGAGAAATTGTTTGGCTCCCACCAAATGCTGCATGCTCTGAGTTCCTAGCCTGCAGCGCTGGAAGGTTGTATGTAATGATATATTGCTCATCCAAATGGCCAAAGCACTCCAAAGCACAGTGAGATTAAAATAAGTCATTCCTTTGTTAATTTAAATAGGTGCATGTATCATACTTTGCAGGGCACTTTGTGTAGGGATGTCAGGGAGGGGGAAAAGGCGCCGAAAGGTATTTTTAATAGCAAATGAGAAGAGATGAGAATGGAGTCATTTGCAGCTGCCTACTTTATGTGGCTCTCTTGTTCCAACTGTAGGCCTAATGAGATGACTGTTGAAGTACTCTGCAGTGTAATTTCATTACATCCTGAGCTGCCACGCTATAAACACAGCGGCGCTCTCTGTCACTCGTGGAAAAACTCCTAAATTCTTAAAGCCTTCCTCTGCGAATGGCAATGGGGTTCTCTCCCTGGGTCACGAAGCCCAGTCATTTGTTGCCATGTAGTTTTCAGCTCTTTCTGAGTTGCTCCCACCGTCACTCCTGGTTTTTTGTCTGGTTGCAGAAGTGGGAGTTTCTCATTACATCCCCAATTCACGAGCTTTCCAGACACAACGGTCGCCCAGGCTGGCAGAAAGGCTGAACCCCCTTTTCTGGAGACAACCCACCCTCTAAAGTGTCTTACTTTTAAATTAGAAGACACAAAAGCACTATTCGAATATGCAGCAAGGGGCAAGCAGTTAAAAGCAGTCAGATATACAAATAAAATGTAAATAACAGGAAGGGTAAATAAATAGCAAATCCAGGAAAAGAAACAAAGGTCAAAACAAGAATGATTTCCCAGTTCTTTGTTAATTACAAGACCATTTGTGTGTTACTTAAATAATCATTAATTTCTCATTTACACTTTCCCTACCTTCCTTCCTACCCTGTGGCTATCATTGTCCTTTTTTCACCTCCCCTCCCTCTCTGCTCTCTGTTTCTCACCATTGTAAAATGTGTGTGGCTTGAAATTTGGCATCTTTACTTCACTGTGTGGAGGAGGGTGCAGCCAGTCCTTTTAATTGGATGAGGCCTTCCACCATTTCAGCTCCTCTGTGATGTGTGGGTGGAGGGTGGAAGAGGAAAGAATAAGAACGTGTTGTGGTGACTTTGGGTGACTTGTTTCCTCCTCCCTCCCAGGATTCACCAGTCCTTCCGCTTGGAGAGTTCTCGGAGCCATTCGTACATTTCATCACTCAGTGGTGAGTCCCCGTTTGCAAACCCGTCATGCCCTCAATGTAAATGCTACATGCCATTAACTCCAAGGCTCTGGGAGACCTTGTGACTCTCCCTGCTTCCTTTTGGAGATGGGAGAGACTTCTGGGCCTTGGGCAGCTGGATCATCAAAGCCAAGAAATTGTTTAAATTATGTAAATGTTATTTACACAAAGGGTTGTGGATAAATTTCAGAGCCTTCCCTAACCCCTTGCCCCTTAATGAACCATTGAGAAGGGGGTCCCTCCAACACAGGCACTGTTGCTATCCTCTTTGATTTTTCTCTTCCCAAAATATACATAATTTTATAACCTCTATTAGTAGACCTATGAAGCTTTTTTTTTTTAATGTTAACCTCGTTACCCATAAAACTGCCTGTTACTTAGCATAAGCAGCTGTTTATTAATTCACCTGATTCTCAGTAAATAACTTGTCCGCAGGTATATTTTAAACACAATCCTAGGGTCACGACTCACTGAAGTTTGGTGTTAAAGAGACCATAGAGACCTTTGTTGAGCCCACTCCAGTCCTGGAGGAACTGAGAGGAAATCCAGGATTTTGCACAAGGGGTCACTGGATCTTTCTAGCAAGGTCTTAGTGTTTTACCCTGAAGAAACAGTTTCCACCCCAGTTTCTTCCAGCCCTCTGCCTTTTCCTCTGGACAGGACACAGCTTTCTTTTATTAGCCCTTTCACCTTCTCCCCAGTCCTGGTGACTTCTGTGGTGTAACCTCAGGAGGCCAGTTGTGCCACTGCCCTCAGACTCACCCCAGCATGGGGAATTACCCCAGAGAGAGAAAACAATTCGGGACCCTTGGATGGTGACCTCTGGGGCAGGAGGCAGGACACGCCAACCATTCTGAAACTCCTTCCTAATTCCCTGGCTTCTCTCCCCCCCCCTTCACCCTCCCTGCAAGGTGCACAGGCAGCCGCTGCCAGGAGATGGTGTGGGCAGCTGCGTGAAGTCCTTGCTCAACTAGAGTGGCTGTGTGCTGTCCCCTCCCCCCTCTCATGATCCATATGATGGTTACACAAAAGTGAAACCAAGAAATATTCCTTAATATAAATGTCAAGCTTTATCACCTTTTTGACTGAGTGTAATATGTTACCTCTTAATGAAAATGTCTCATACGGTTTATATTCCACCAGAAACAAATGAGGGAGAAAATTTCCCTCAGATCTAAAAATTGTAATTGCTTCTATTTACTTAAAATACTTACATCATATTCTGTAGCTTTTAGGAACTATTTTTACTCCAAAAAAAATCTTTTGTTTCCAAAGCATGCCATACTCGGGGAAAATGCTTATTAATTAAACACCAGGATTGTGAGCTCTTGAAGTTCATTAAAACGGTTTGCCAGAGCCCTTGTCCAGAAACAGATTAAGCTCTTAATGTCCTATACCTGCAATTCTTGAAAACACAAAGTACATCATGCCCACTTTCTGCAGAAATTAGGAAACAAACTCAGTTCCAGGCTGCCTGGAGCCCTGGCTTTGGGCATCACAAAGAGAGGTTGGATTTCCGATATCTGCATGGTCTCTGTGTGGTCTGAGACCAGCCTGGAGGTGGAACAAGCTGAGTAACCAGAGAGAGCAGGGCGAGAAGCTTTACCACCCTCCCATCCAAAACATTAATTGGCTGTTATATAAAAGTTTTATGGAGATGGGGGAGGGATAACCTGTGTCGAAATCTCCACAGATGTCAGCCAAAACAGAAGTGATTGTGGGTAATAGCCTTGTTTTCCCAAGAGATACAGCTACTTTGGAATGTCAGATTAGGACTGTTACCAACTCCACTGGCGAGACAGCTTGAATCACTTGCTAATGGATGCAGCATTTGAGAGGTGCATATGGTTATTTATAGGGAAGGCAAATGTCCTCGATGTCATTAATGGTTCATAGCTATGGTTCTTGTTTACCAAATAATCATTAAATCTCTCTATTTAAAAAAAAAAACTATTATCAGCAAATGCAGCAGTCTCTTCTCATGACTTCATCTCACAAATGCTCTGAGTTTAAAACAAACATGGCTACAGGTAGGCAGCTGCTCACAGTCGCCTCCCTACCATTTGGGGTCCTTCATCACACAGCTAAGGAGATGCAACTGCTACTAATTATAGCTCCTGAAGAGAAGACAGGAAAGAGTTCTCATGAAGAATGTGGATTTTTAGGGGCTTAACTAAACTTAACTGTCTTACAACTGTGAAATGATTTATCACCTTGCATTTTAGCTAAAATAAATGCAAGTCAAGAAGATGTGTAAGGAGCCATCTGTGGTCTTGTAGCATCATCTATACTTCTGGCCTGTATTTACAGCTCATGACTGAGCGCCAGAACCAACTAGTGCTTTCTCATATGACTTACCACCATTTTGTTTCCTTCTTATCCCAATGATCAAAATACAAGTATATTGTTCTCTGAATTTAAAATTGAAATAAATTGGCAACTGAGGAAGAGAATATGGCTCCTCTTTCCACGATGATTTCAAAAATAGAATTATAGGACTAGAGGCATGGATGGCTCAGTGATTAAGAACACTTATTTCTCGTGTACAGGATCTGAGTTCAGTTCCCAACCACCTGAAACTCCAGTTCCAGGAGATCTGACACCTCTTCTGACCTCTGTCGGCTCCGGGCATGTGCTGTACATACAGACAGACAGGCAAACAAACACATAAATATCTTTTGAAAATAGAATTATAATAACTTACCTTTATTTCAACAAAGAGTTCTGATTCATGGTGTTCCCAGATGTCTGACTCAAGGCCAGCATAAGATGAGGAATGTGTGTTAGTACTTTGGACAAGCATTGAGCTGGTGGATTTTGCTGTTGGTTTTCTGTCAGCTTAGTAGCTGTACCAGAATCTACTGATATTTTTAACTACCATCTGTAGCCATCTGCCACAGTCACCAAATGTAGGTTTTAACTAAGTATCTATCACTCTGTTACCAAGAAAAACCCAGGAGTCAAATGTTGGGCGAAAACCTGCTAGATCAGAAAAGCCCAGAAGTAGCCAGCTGACCTTCTTTTTGGTTGAAGAGCCAACAAGAGAAGTGTCTCTCCACTAGTCACAAACCAAAAAGATGGCAGAATCTCTAAGTCTCTCCCTACTCCTTCCTGTGCATCTCTCTATCCGTATTCCTGTCTCCTCTGACCTCACTATAGCCCAATTCCAGTCAACTAGATGCTGGCTCCACCCCAGATCCAAGGTTAATTTTATTAACATAGTCTCTGAGATTCATAGTGTGATCAAATATCCCGAAACATTTTGCAACCATTCAGATTCCAGCAGAAACTGGTGGAAATTAGCAACAAAAAATTACCAATATGAATGAGGGTCTTTTGTCTTCCTACTGCAGCATGAGGAAACAGCCCAAAGAAAGACCAGCACCGGAGGAACTGATGGTGAGTGAAATCTTCTTAGGTGGCATGTTAGAGTTCTTCAGATGGGTGTTTATGTTCAACATTACAACAAAACCTGGCTGGAGATGTAGCTTCCTTGATAGAGCACTTGCCCAGCATGCTCAGAGCTCTGGGATCCGTCGACAGCACCTGCTAACCTAGCATGGTTGTACAGGCCTGTGGGTTGTGGCATTTGAGAGGTAGAAGCAGGAGGATCAGAAACTGAAGGATTATCCTCAGCTATAAGTAAGGCCTACTGATACATAAATCTGCCCCCAACCCCAGCCTCCCTAAAACCTGGACATTTAAGAAATCCACAGGCTAGAGAGTTAACATTATTTACCATATTGGGTAGGGTTTTTCTTATTTCCTTTCCATGCTGGAAACTGAACCAGGAAGCTCTCTTGTTGACCTGCAGCCCTGGGTAGGTATTTTGCAAGCTCAGACCCTGGGACTTAAGTTTAACTTTTGAAAACCCCACCATTTCATAGCTTCATGAAGAGATCTCTTTATCTACTTCACTCAAGGATCACATCTTATTGCATTTGCTGTTACTGTCTTTCTGATGTCCCAGGGCTGGGGACAGAAGGCAGCAAGAGAAGTCTGTAGTGTGTAGTGCAGTCCTCCAGGAAATCAGTACCCTCTTGATTCACATAGAAAGAAATGGGATCAATTTACTGTGAATCTTTGGTCTTTCCTCAGAAACAGATACTGTGAGGTGGCTGGAGCTGTGTTCCCAGCTCCAATGCAAGCTTGCCTTGATTGCAAATGACAATTTTTACTCAAGCAAGGAAAGGGGCAGAGATGGTCCCTTTCAATTTCCAAATGGTCATCCATTTACTACAGATTGTTGATTTGAGGGTGATAGCTATTAGAACAGGGCTGGGTAGATAGAGCATTGGTAACAGTGAGTATCCTGCACTTGGTATTAGTCTTCAGGTGACTGCAGTCAGCCAACCACGGCCTCTTTAAACAAGGTGCGTTTTACTCCTCTTGGTTCAGAGGGTTTTGTTCCTTGGATTTTGTTATAAGCATCCAACTTCTATGTACAAGAGTCCATCATCACAAAAGGCATGTCCCTTTGACATCACTGACAGGTACATTTCTCTTTCATGTCACACTGGACTAGGTCTCACTTTTCTTAAAGGCATCAAAGTAAGAATTCATCCCCAAAACCTTTGCAATTTGTAACTGTGGGTCTTATGTCCAGACTGAAGGTGGGGCCTGAGGTTTTGTTTGGTTTGCTATTTAAATGGTTTGGGGTTTTTATTGTTCATCTGTTGTTGGGCTTTGTTTGCTTGGTCTCTGATGGTTTGGGAGATCTTGCAGTTAGTCACATTTGAGAAAGCTTGGAGCAGGTTCAAGAAATGGAGACTCATTTACCTGGTCATTATTGTGCTATGGCTGGATAGCTCAGCTATTAAAACAAATAAGAGGGTTTCATAAAACAAATACCTGTGTGCAACTGTATGTTCGATGTTCTAGTGAGCTGGCCACTTAGAAACAAAACAGCTGCAGCTCATGTGTGCATCCATAATGCATGTAGATGTCTGTGTGAGTGAGGAATGCCCCCTGAGGAGAAGGGTACAAGTCATAAAAATAAGGGTACAGGGAAGGCACTTAGCTTTTTAATCCCTTATATGTGCTGTCCCATCTTTTCAATTAACAAATATATTTTTGAAAAATATAGTCTCAGGAAACACTGCCCTGTACTTAATTTTCTCTTTAACAATATTCACTATTAAAATTTTGGCAGAATTTATCCCCAGAGGTATAGCAGAAGTGAGGCAAACCTTTGTTTGAGCTGGGCAATTGTGGTGCACACCTTTAATCCCAGTACTTGAGAGGCAGAAGCAGGAGGATCTCTGTGTGTTCCAGGCCAGCCTGGTCTACAAAGTGAGTTCCGGGACAGCCAATGCTACTCAGAGAAACCCTGTCTCAAAAAAAAAAAACAGCAACTTGGTGAAGAGGGAACAAACAATGTAACAATGTGGAGGTAGCCACAGTGGTGGAGGTAATGGAGACTTGCCTGTCTGCTTTTGGTTAAAAGTCCTTTGGACCCAGTAGGGAGTTGGAAAGAGAGTGGGCTGTCCCTTGTCTTGTGCCTGAGTCACATCCTAGAGACCTAGCCTTAAGGAATCATTTCTTTACTCCTTGTAACATATTAATAGCTTTCATTTTCTCTTTACCCTCTCTGCCTACAACTTATTAGATGGTGTTTCCCTCTGAAGACAAGAGCCTCCTCTGGAATACAAGAGCTATAGAGCCTATTTGTCACTGGGAGAGTTGAGGGGGGGGGGGAACGGGAGGAATCTGTGCCTTTAAAAAAAAAAAAAGAGCAATTTATGTCCCAAGTACAGTAACCCCAGCCAGCAGGGTGCCAAAGAGGGCTATACTTGGGCTGTGCTTGCTTCAGGGCCCACAGAATTGTCAACATTTCCCTGTGGGTCAGCATCTTCCAAGTCACAGGAAGAAACTCTCATATGAACTCCAGGTGTGGCTGTGGCTGTGGCTGTGGCTGTGGCTGGGAATACAACATGGACCTGTCTAAATAAATCTGAGTGCAGGATGGGTGGTCCAGCTCACCATAGACTCAGGTTCTGGCCATGAATATTAGCAACATCCAGACCTAGTATTTAGTTAAATAACCTTTCAGACCCAAGTACCCAATATCAAGCTTTAAAAATCCTTGTCCTTTACTCCCAGCACTTGGGAGGCAGAAGCAGGAGGATCTCTGTGAGTTTGAGGCCAACCTGATCTATAAGAGCTAGTTCCAGGACAGCCAGGGCTACACAGAAAAACCCTGTCTCAAAAAAACAAAAAGAAACAAACAAAGCCAAGTGTCAGGAGATGACTGGCCTGCAGCCTCGCTGAAAAGGAGAGCTTCAGGTGAGAGAGACACTGTCTCAAAGGAATAAGATGGGGAGGGACAGGCAGGACATCTGATGTCCCTCTGTGGCCCGCATATGCATGTACACATGTACACCTCACACAAGCACACCATGTACAAATATAATAAAACTTAAATAAATTTTAAAAGTGGAGCATGGCATGTACCTATGATTCCAGTGCTGGAAGTGGGAAAAGGAGGCTCCTGAGAGGGGCTCACTGGCCAGCCAGTCTAGCTAATCAGTGAGCTCCAAGTGCAGTGAGGGACACTGTCTCAAAAAATAAAGTTGACAGTGATAGAAGGGGACATCCACTGCCAGCCTCTGCCTCCACAGGTTAGGCACACTCTCACACATGTGTGCATACAACACACAGGTAATAATGGACTCCAAGTTTTCACACACACACACACACACACACACACACACACACACCGCTATCCTCTTCTGAGATCACAGAGCCTGGCAAATAAGCAAATTCAGATATTTAAAGACCACTATGAGCAGAGTCTGTACTTGTCCCAGCAGCTCCTTCAAAGGACAGTAAACCATACAGGTAGAGTATCGAAGGGGAGAGGGCAGGTGCCAGGCCAGCCAGAAGGAAGTAGCAGTTCTAAAGGGGCAACAAGAGATAGGTGGAACCCACCAGGGTGGTTAGGGGAAGTTCTATGTGGAGAGGGTAGTGTGTGGAAAGCGCCTTTGAAGGGTGGATTGAGCTGTGTTCATTTTCAAGGTCCATTCCAGGCTAACAAGACAGAATGGGCAAAGCACCCATGTGTGTGCACCCCACACCTTCTCAGAGCAGGGGAAGCACAGAAACCTTTGACCTTGGCCTGTAGATTTCCAAACCCACAAAGGTGGAGTTGAGTTGGGCATTGTGTCAGTCACTGCCAATTCCAGTGTTGATCCAAACACTTTGACGCTACATCGAGCAGCACAGAGTCTGTCCTTGTAAACCCTTCTTCTTGAGTAAGTGCTCTTGAGTTGCACATCCTGTTCAACTACAGGGAAGTCACTTGTGCTGGGGACAATGAGGTTTCTTCAGTCACCTAGAGCCTAATACATAAATCAGGAGTCAGCCTTATACCCCAAGAAGTAAAGGCCACAGTGAGCCTTCAGCACGCTGATGTGCCAGCTCTCTCTTCTCCTGTAAACTTAAGTCCACATATGAAGAGCCAAATGATGCTGCTGGGCTCTGTAGCCTTGTACCAAGAAACCCTGACAGAGCTTCTGGGCAGTGGAAACTAATGAGGTAGAAGACAAACCCTTCAGCGGACTTCAGATGACCATCGTGCCAAAGCACAGAGGGGCAACTTGAGATAGGCATTCTAGACTTATTTTGCTATTCAATTTGTATGTTCAAATGTTTAAGAAGCTAGGATGCAGAACGTTCCTACATAGACATTTTGCATCTGCAAACCACAAAGAATTGCATCTAAAGCAAATGATTCCTTTTAGAGTCTGTGGTAATGAGGGTCAGGCTGTGACTTGGTAAGGATCTGAGCCACAGTTCTTCTCTGTATCACCCCAAAGCGATGACTTTCCCTTTCCATGTCAGCATGTTCATCTGCAAAGCCAGGAGATATAGTGGATCAGAGGGCCTGGCCAGCGAAATCTATGAGGAGCCCGAGATCACAGGCAGAAAAGCCTATGTTCGTGTGCAGATTTGCTTTTTTTTTTTTTTCTTTTTTCTTTTCTCCTGAAAAGAGGAATTCATAGTTGTCACCAGTTTTTCAAAGGGACTGTTGACCCTCAGTGATTGTTCAGCTCCCAGGCTACCCCCATTTTGCTTTTTCCAGTTTGCTGTCAAGGCCAGATAAGCAGCTCAGGAGGAGCCAGTCACAGGGAGGGTGCTTGCTAGGGTTGGGGGAGGGAAAGGAAGTGTCCTCCCAGTGGGACTCTGCCAGGCTCCCACCAGCTGTCAGGCAACCCTTTAACCTCCCAGCCTGTCCCCAATGAGGGTCATCAGTCAGGAGCAGGCGGGTGAGGGCCACAGGCACCCATAGTTACAATCAGGGGCTCAGCTCAGAAGATCCTTCCTTCGGTGCATTTAGAGCATTTCCTAGCTTCCCTAGTCTAAGCTCTATTTAATGGAATCTATGCATAGTAAGTAAT